TTCGCCAAGGCCATCAAGCTTTCGTCTGTATTCGATTTTTATAGCAAAGTGAACGCCATTAGGAAGCCTGGAGGCAGAGATTCTCGTGACCTCTAGAGTCGTTTTGCGAAAAACGATCGATTCGGCAAGTCAATCTTGATGAATGATATGATAAAAAGGAGAAGTTCCTGGAACGTGAAAGGAGGAACGATGTGGGGATGAAAAATCCATCAAGCCGATTTGGTGGGGTTTATATCGTCGCGAGCTGCTCGCCAACACTCTTCACCCCTATGTTGACCAGTCACTTGACTAGGAGAAACGTGCATGCGAGCAGGTTTAGTCAGAAATCTCTGTTGTGCTCGGAAACTCCAAATTTCCGTCATCGTCGAGGAGAGGTCGAGGTCAGCGTGTTGGCAGCGCAGGTGGTTGAATGGCTTTTCTCCCTCCCGCTGACCTCCACCCACGTCCACTAAGACGAACAACAATGCACGGATAATCTACCCGCCACAATTATCGATTCTTGAGCTGGACGTTTCTATTGCACTAACTAACGACGATCGGCTTTCCTAAAATCCCGCTGACAGCTGGGATCCGGTGCGGTGGCAAGACCCGCCAAGTGAAGAGATTTACATAAGGGTCTTTTTCTCCAGGTGAATCACGTTCTAATCTAACCAAGACATCGTATTGATCCCCCTCTGACCAGAAACTGTGCGCATCGTTTGACATCCCGGCACCCTCGAGTTGAACGTTTACCATGCAATGGTCTACGACAACTATCCGCATGGGAATGGGCGGGATGTTGATGTTACTAATAGCTTGATTCCCTTGCCACTGTTGTGATTTCGGTGTGGCCGTTGCGTCCAACTCTTCCTCCAGAGTCTGAGAGATTTACGTGGCATTCTCTACTCCATATAAAATTTCATATCTTTTCCGGTAAAAAGATGAGAAGATGCGTCGAATATTCACCAGAGGGGCATTACCAATGCTAAGGGACGTCTTTATCGCCCAAAGTAGAATAATGCTTGAGTTTATATGGTCGAATCAGCTTATCTCGTCGTCAACTTGGCTGGAATAGTAAGGACTGATTGATAGCTCTCTTCCAGCAAGTCTCCTGGTAACTGGGCCCATTGGAACCACATCAAATGAGGCGGGCAAGGACCGGCCAATGGGAATCTCCGCTCCAACCGACTCAAGACGAACCAGGGGATTGAAGAAAATTAGGACGCTGTCGGTGCTTCCACGCAAGATAATACCACCTCGCACCATCGATTGTAGTGGTGCCGAATGT